CCTGAGAAATGGCTCAGGAAAAGAAGCATCAGGACTTCGCCTTCTGGCATACCCAGGAAGACATCCAGGAGCACTAAAGACTCATGAAAGACTAATTCTTCCAGCATACCTTGGGGTGATTTCGTCCTCACACTGGCTTCCTCCATTGGCTACCAACAATATCCATGGGGAGAAAGCCTTGTCCTGGCAACTATTCAGAAGTCTTGAGCTTCCTTGTGATTAAACCATACATGAATTAATCACTGAGACCAAGGGACTCTCCTTGACTTAGGCCTAGGTTTTGTACTTGTCTTGACAACTCTGTGTAATGAAAGAAGGAATATAGTAAGAATGAGTTCCATTCTGAGAGTGTGTTCATAAGTCCAATTTGTTTGTAAGCTCAACAAAGTTAGCCTAGGTGTCCAACTAACACAATCATCTATATAGTACTGTACTATATGTGTTTAGAGATTTTTTATATTTTTCACACAAATAATATATAAACAAACACAAAAATAAATAAGACATTTAAAATTTTATAGTACCTTAAAAGTACAGTACTGCAGTACAGTATAACAGCTGGCATACTGCTGGCATACATCAAGTGAATAGGCAAGAAGAGTTACTGACTGGAGTGGGCAGTGGAGGTGGGAGATAGTGGATCTGAAGGATCGTCAGCAATAGGAGATGGAGGGCAAGCTGCAGTTTCACTCATGACTGACGTTGATGGCACAGGTTCTGGCTCCTTCATGGATTCAATTCTATCTGTCCTCTTAAAAAAATGATTCAGTGATGTCTGGGTAGTAGCTCTGTTTTTCCCATCATAGATGACATGGTAGCACTGGATTGCATTCTGAACGGCTGCTGCAATCTTCATGTCCTGTTCTATCCAAATGTCCTCAAATAATGCAAATGCATGTTTGCATCTCTGAAAGTTTGCAACTTGAAGGTTCATATATAGGGGACTCACTGTACTCTGATTGCTTTAGGTAAACCAACTCCTCCATACTTCTGATGTGGGGGGATCAATTTTAACTAAGTCAATAGATACTAACCAATGGGGGAGGGCTGAAACATTAGGGAGGTGGCCACTACCTATTCTACATGGTTTCTATGAGATTTAATTTAGGAATCTTGATCTATTTCAAATTTTCCAAATCAAATAAAATGAAGGAGAAGAAAAGAAATTATAACATTTTGGATCTCTTTTCTATACCTTCATTCTGGAAAATCTTATTTACTTTTTTTACTCATATTAATTGAGCACAAATTATTTTTCAAGAGCTATAACTTGGGGTTACAAGCTGAATAAATCAGAAATGACCCCTAATCTCACAGGGTTAAGAATCCAGCATAGGATTTAGACAATTTAAGAGAAGTGAATTTAAGAGTGAAGAGAAGTGTGAAAGTTTTTTTTTTTCTTTTGTTTTCAGAGCTTATATTTGTAACTTTTGTTTTGTTTTGAAGAAGATTGAGATGGTCGAGTCACATTTCTGAATGAGACAGCAAGTACAGGGTGATGGTGGCACGTGGAGGGGCCCCTAGCCTGGATGCCTGGAGGGTCAGGAAAGGCTTTGGAGAAAGTGACCTCCAATCTGAGGCTGAGGAAAGAGTAGGAATTGCCAGGTGACTTACGTGTGGGCCAGGACTCGATAGATGGAGGAAGGCCTAAGCGGGTGGAGCAACAAAGCCAGTTAGAGAGACTCACAGGAGTTCCATGTATCTGAATGATGCAATTCAAGGATTCAGGGGGAAGAACAGTGAGCAATGAGTAGAAGTGGGGAGTGAGAGGCAGAAAGTGTTATCTATCTATGGTTTGTTTTTTTTTTTTTGAGTTGGAGTCTCACTGTCGCCCAGACTGGAATGCGGTGGCCGCTCCCGGCCACCGCAGCCTCGACCTGCTGGGCTCCGGAGATCCTTCCGCCTCAGCCTTCCGAGTAGCTGTAATTACAGGCGTGCGCTACCACGCCCAGCTAATTTTTGATTTATTGTAGAGATGAGGTCTCGCTGCCCAGGTGGGTCTCGAACCTGCGGGCTCAAGCAATCCACTCACCTCAGCCTCCCAAAGACGCGGGATTACAGTCTGAGCCACCGAGCCCGGCTTGTTATCTATGTTTTATTTTTTAATTTTTTATTTTATTTTATTTTTTTGAGTTGGAGTTTCACTCCGTCGCCCAGACTGGAGTGCAGTGGCCGCTCCCGGCCACCTCAGCCTCAACCTGCTGGGCTCCGGCGATCCTTCCGCCTCAGTCTTCCGAGTAGCCAGAATTACAGGCATGAGCCACCACGCCCGACTGATTTTTGATTTATTGTAGAGATGAAGTCTCGTTGCCCAGGCGGGTCTCGAACCCGTGAGCTCAGGCAATCCACTCACCTCAGCCTCCCAAAGGTGCAGGATTACAGGCTGAGCCACAGAGCCCGGCGTTATCTATGTTTTAAAACGTTATGATTTTATTCTGGGAGCCCTTGAGGATACTAAACAGAAAAAAACAAGATAGATACTATATTTCAGAATTGTCTGCTCGCTACAAAGTAAAAAATGAAGTGGCCCGGGGGTTGGAGGCTGCAGAGCTATGATCATACCACTGCACCTCAGCCTGTGTGACAGAAGGAGACCTTGTCTCCAATAAAACAAACATAAACAAAAACAGAAACAGGTTTAATAAGCAATTGGATATATTGGCCTGGAGCTAAGGGAATCTGCCAATGCAGAGAGAATTAGTGGATAGAGAGGCAAGAGGAAAGCCTGGAACTTTTTGGATCCTAGAAGCCTAAGGTAGAAATTATTTATGGAGGAAATGGTCATTAATCCCAACTGCTACACAAAACAAGGAGGTCATTAGGGCCTTGTTCAGAACTTAATTCTGTTGTGGGGACAGAGGTGAGACTGGAGGGGTTGAGGAACAGAAGAGGCACGATTAAGTGAAGTGTGAAAGTTTCTTTTTCTTTTGTTTTCAAAGCTTATATTTGTAACTTTTGTTTTGTTTTGTTTTGTTTTGAAGAAGATTGAGAAGGTCGACTCACATTTTTTAAGAGACTCAAATTTGGAATGAGTACCTGGCCTTTGTGACCGTCAAATTCTTTTCCACGGTCTCTGATTTCACTGTCCCCCCCCTTACTCCAGCGATGAGGCACAAATAAAAATCCTTCGAAATTTTGGCTTCTGGGAGCACAGGCTGTATAAATGTTTCTTGTACAGCATGTCCTTGAATAGCGTCATTTCATTCAACATTGTTTCATTACAAAGTTGGTGAGGGAAAAAAAAATCTATTCCCAGCCAGGGCTACTGTCTGTGTGGCGTTTCCACAGTCTTCCCATGTCTGCGAGAACTTTCTCTAGGTCCTCTGGTTCCCTCCCAAATCCCAAAGCTGTGTTCCTTAGGTTAATTGGTATGTCTACACGGTCCCAGTGACTGGGAATGGGTGAGTGTGCCCTGTGATGGTATGACATCCAGGGTATGTTCCCACCTTGCACCCTGAGTTGTGGGGACAGGTGCTGGTCACCTTTGACCCTTTGGAATAAGTGAGTTGGAAAAGGAATGAATGAATGGATATAAATTATTGCCAAATATGAATTCTTAAAGTACACGATAATTACACAAATGCATGAAAATAAACAAAACCATTCTGGCTATTGTTTGTTTTTGAAACACACGATGGCAGGAGGTATCCTTACAATTTTCACTTTGCAAACATCTATTCCCTGATTGAACCTACAAACACAATGACCACTGTCACTCTCTGATTCACCAAAAATTGGGTAAATGATGATCTTACTTGTTTTTATTAATCTTTCAAAAAACATTCATTTTAATGTTTAATATTACAAGTCTTTATTTGGAAGTTTGGTGATGGATTTTTGTTTTTGTTTTTTTGGACTAGAAATCGACTGTAGGAACTTAATTCTATTTATATCAATTAGCATGTGGTAAAACTGATTTAGTTTTACCTTGTTTCACCTAAAGTTACAGTTTCTAAGAACCCATCAATGACATTGAGTGAGGACTTAGTGGTAAAACAGGCAGCGTGTCTGGAAGCCATTTTTGTCTGGTGCCACAGACTAACTTTCCCAGGCTCTTCTTTATTTAGTGTGTTTTTATGTGGATGAATGCTATGGAAAATAAATTATGGGAAAATTAAAATGTTCCATTTGTACATTTTTGGTAAGTTGTATTAGGATCTAAAACATTTTGAAACACAAAATCCACTTTTATACTGGACCACCCAGACTCAAAACATGTGAAGAGAGACCATAAAAATGAGAAACTTGTAGGTGGTGACATTGTACCCTGTTGCATTCAGGTTTAAGAAGATCTGCAGCAAGGAAGAAAATGAAACACTTATTTCAACGTATAATTCCCTAAACCATGCAATAAGAACAGTTACAAGAATGTAGTTTCCTAGGGGAAAATTCATCCATTCTCTCCCCCTCCCTTTCTTCCCCCCTCTTTCTCTCACTCCCCCTCTCCCCCCTCCCTCCCTCTTCCCCCTTCTCTAAATATGTATCATACTTAAGGAAAGTACTTTTCAGAGTAGGAGGTTTCTGCAAATTAAATGTTTACGCTTTCTTTTATTTCCTCTATTTATGGGATTAATTCTGCAGACAGAAAAATAATAATTTAACCCACTCAAACTCCCTTTTGACTCTTTCACTCGTCGATGTGGTGATTCTTAAAACATGTATTTGAGAGAATCTAATGCCCTGGAGTTGAGTTCTCAGAGGTCAAATTTTACAGTGTCACTCATGGCCCTCATGTGTCCTCTACTATTATAGAATTATTAAATGTAAGTTACCCGCCGTACCTTCCTTCCTCTAAGAACTGGGATTTCACATTCGCGCAGGAACAGGACCGCCCTCCCCTATCTCGCCCCGCGAGCGGGCGCCCCCTCTCCCTGAAGGTGGGCCGAGCGAGGGGCGTGACGCAGGAGTGGGCTGTGTCCTGGACGCGGAGCCGCCGCCTCCTGGAGGACAATCCCGGAGCCGCACAGATTCGCCGGCGGCCCGGCGGCTCCGCGCGTCTGGTCCCGCGCCCTTGGCCGGCGCTAGCCCAGCGCGCATCTTCCGCCGCGTTCAGGCCTGGCTTTTCTCTCTTCGAGCTCTTCATGCGGCCCCACTGAAAGGAAAAACATGGGCACGGGGGATTGTATCTGCATTTCCATGACCGGCGGGGCGCCCTGGGGCTTCCGACTGCAAGGTGGCAAGGAGCAGAAGCTGCCCTTACAAGTTGCCAAGGTAAGACCGAGAAGTGCTGGGACGGAGGGAACCGACACAACCTGTTGATGGGGTTTCAAGTTCTGTGTACTCGTCTGCTTTTGGAGCTGGCGTAGAATTTTTCTAGGATGTGGGTTGTTTTCTAAGAATATGGAGAGTACATGGAGAGTGCTCTGCGCCATATACTATATAATTAACTTGTAACTGACGGGGTGACGGGGAAAGAGGAGTACCGTAATGATCAGCTGAAGAATCGGCCTAGTGAGTCACTTTCTTCTGACAACCAGTAAGGCATAGGGGAACGTTTCTTCTAGACGATATTAGAATGTTCAGTTGAGTTGCTGTTTCATGTCACTTAGCTTTGGCAGAGGGGAAATGCTCAGCTCTGTCTAACCACTTGGCTTAGTTATTTTGAGGACTCTTATAAAGTGTTGGTAGTGACATTTATTGTGCAGCATTCATGAAAGGGCCCATTTTGGGCAATAATTTTTAAAGCATGATGGAATGTCATGAAATCTATTTAAGAGAATACCCTTTTAAGGATTTGACGAATAAATGCAAAAATCCAAGTGCTGTATTCCATCTCGTGTCCTCTTCTGGTTAAGAACTCGACATAAATTTCACAGATACTCGAAAAATAATGTAACTAACTAAGAAGTGAGTTTGTAATGCATCTAATAACGGCTTGAAATGTTTCATGTTTTTGTTGCCATGATATTGGGTACATTACCAGTTTGCTCAAGGGGATCTACTATTGTCTAATTGGCAGTCAGCTACAATAAATTTTAAAATGCTTTGAACTAAGCAAACTTTTACCTGATTTTAACATCAAATTGTAAATTGTAGTATATTTCTGTATATTTATATGAAAAATAAATCTAGATCTTTATGCACTATATGGACCGCTGCTTCTATAGCTGTTGTTTCCCTTGACTTTTACTTTTAAAAAACTGTTCCAAATGAAGAAAGACATTTCTTTGAAATTGTCTGTCTCTAGGCATCCATCAAAAAATCATTTTATAATATGATGGTGGAATCCTGCCACCTAGTGAAAATTGCAGACATTGGGAATGAAGCATAAAAAACAGGAGATGAAACACAGTTTTTCTAACTGGAAAGTTCCTCAGATGTCTCCAGTTCAACCTATCAATTTTAGATGAGGAAAGAGCTCAGAGAGGTTAAGTAAGTTGCCTTGAGTCTTCAGCTTGGCACTGGTAGTGATTAAAGGGTCAGAAATACAATACAGTGTCATTGGGTTTCCTTAGGAGAGTATAGCAGGCAACATCTAATAAAGTATGAATGCCTAATTCAGTGTTTGTAGAATTCATGACACTGAAGCAGTTTTGTTCTGAGTCTAGAATAGCTGTTGGCTGACGCCAGTTGCCGAGATTTGAGTTCTAATTCCAGCTCTGATCTGACTTGCAGCCGGGCCTTAGGCAAATCTCTTACCCTTCCTGTCTCATCTACTAGTGTGAGTGTGTGTGTGTGTGTGTGTGTATTTATGTGTGTGTAGGTAGAGAGAGACAAAAATTTTGAGTGGTATGGGAAAGAAGTAAGGAAGAAATTGGACTGTGTGATCCATGAAATTCTATCTTGCTTGAATGATCCTAATAGTGTACAATTTTAGAATCACTGCTACTAATTGAAATGTGGGGGCAATGGTGACTGAAAGCTGTTATTCCCTTGTGGCTCTTTGTAGAAGTCAGGCCTGAAAAATAGAATGAGTAGTGTGAGTAGTTTCTCCTGAGTTCTCCATGTGCTGATTTCAAAGTGGAACTGCCTGGTGGCGATTCACTGTGGAAATGAAGCTGACTGCTAAGGAAGAGTGCAATGAAGGCATTTCTTTGCTTGTGGTATCTCTATTGCCAGGATTCAGTGAGGCTGTTAAGCTGTGTGAGGGTCAAATAGTCCAGCCCTACACTCTCCCCAAATCATGTGTCCTAAAATACTCAGGAAATATATTTGTGGCTTTAAAAAGATTATTATGAAAGCATCTGGATATTGGCTTTGATTTTCTAGTGTATGATACTATAGTTAGAGCTATAGATTTTAAGATACTGTTATGAAAGCATCTGAGTGTTTGCCTTAATCTGTGTGTGTGTGTGTGTGTGTGTGTGTGTGTGTGCGCGCGCGCGCGCGCACGTACATGTGAGAAGGGAGGGAGGAAGGAAAATAAAGAAAGAGGGAGAGAGAGAGAGAGACAGAAAGAGGGAGAGAGAGACAGGGAGAAAGAGAGAGCAAAAGAGAAATAGAGAAAGGGGGCAGAGAGAGAAAGAGAAAGAGAGAAAGAGAAACCATAGTTTACAGTCTGCCTTTTGTGCATATGTTGAGACCAAAGAACCGCCTAAAGAAGATAAAACTTCTAAATTACTGTGCAATGCCCCCTGTTTTTTAGTTCAAGCTATTATATTCAGTTTCTTATACTAGCATTATTTGCTCTAGAAAGCCATTGGAGTGAAGTGCTTGTCACTTTCCTTGTTATCAGGGCCATGGTCTCACAAAGGTGACTATATTTTATTTAAAATACTAAGTTGCATCACTTCTAGTAATGATCTCTCATTGAGTTCAAGAGGAAGTGACTGTTGCTTGGGCCTAGACTTTCTCCTCTTTTAAGGGCTGGTGACAGCTTATTAGGGTTATCACTTCCAAGCAGGAGGTTGCAAGGAGAGAGATGGAAAGGATCGGAAGATGATGATTACTGGCAAAGAAAGTGTTCACCATGTTGAAGAACATGCAAAGGATTAATCTGGGAATTGGAAAAAATAAATATTTCCAAAGAAAAGAAAATTTTAGCCAGTGCTTGAACCATGCCCCTTAAAATGTGAATGCTTCAAAACATTTCTATAGACAATAATAAATTTAGACTTGCTGTGAAATATCTAAGTATTTAGATTTTACATAATTGTATATAGAATAAAAACCTAACAGGCTGAAATAGCACAAGAAAAACGAATATAATGCTATCAAGAATGATCAGAAATTGAATCGTTTCATAATTTCTGGGAAAAATCTTTTTAGACATGTTAGTTACTTTTAAGATATGTTTAAACATTTTACTATGTGGCTGACTGTCCGAACTGTACACAAACCCCAACTTTTAAAGGTAATTAACAGAAATATTAATTACTAAAACTTGACATTGAAACTCAATGCCATAAAATTCTGTTGTTTTCAAAAGTAAACTGAATTTTTAAAAGGCCCAAATAATCAGTAGCATAAACCTGGTTTTTAAACATTTATGTATATTTTAATTTATATTCTAAATATATGGAATGGGAAGCAAACATTTCTAACACTGAGCCATAGGATAATACTCTGCAAAGTATATTTTCAAGAGTTCATACACAGAACTAAATTTATCCAAAACATAAACATAAAACCCCATTGTGTGTGTGCAGATAGTACTGCAAAAGGGCCTTTACTTGACAAAACTCTCCTTGGGGACACGCACTTACTTGGCTATGATTTAGGACATTCTCTTGGCAAATCACTTTGGAAAATCTTCAAATAAAGAAGTGGGGAGAAATTTTTGTTCTACAAACAAATATTATATACAATTCAGAAATTAATATCATTTCAAAAACCATGAATAAAGAAATATTCATACTGTTTATCCTTAACATATTTTCATGTAGTTAGAAATTTATTTTTTTCTTCAAACAATATATACCACTATAGCACTTATTCTTCTATTGAATTTTAATTCAAAGTTTCAAATAATTTTTTGTTAAAATTGAGATGAGAAATTATAATCATTAGTTTCTTGAGACAGAAATGGGTTTATCTATTGCCCTGTATGCATTCTGTGAATAAAAATATAGTATTTAGGCAGAGCACATTCCAAAATGATATCACTCATCTCTTAGTGCCAGTAATGAGGTTTCTAAAATGTTTCAAATAGAATAATTCCAGAAACATGAAGAGGGGAAAGATATTTATAAATCTATTTAGATACAGGGTCTTGCTCTGTCACCCAGGCTGGAGTACAGTGGCATGATCACAGTTCACTGCAGCCTCAACCTCCTGGGTTTAGACGATTCTCCTGCCTCAGCCCAGAGTAGCTAAGGTTACAGGAAAGTGCCACCATGCTCGGCTAATTTTTTTTCCTATTTTTTGTAGAGATGGGGTTTCACTTTCTTGCCCAGGTTGGTCTTGAATTCCTGGACTCAACTGATCCTCCTGTCTCAGCCTCCCAAAGTGCTAGGATTACAGACATAAACCACCATGCCCTGAAGAAAAATATTTTAATGGGTTTGAGTGTGCATATTTGAGAACACGTTGCTTTTTACTATATGTGAAAAGCTAGTAATATCTTTATTAGAAAATATGCCTGATTGCTTAATTTTTAAATTGATTTTTTAGCCCTTTTTAGAAATTTTAGGCATGTATGCTTATACAAGTCAGTGTGAACTAGGTAAAGCTATTAAACAAGTGTTACTAAAAAAAAAAAAACAAAAAACACTTTATTTTAGTATTGTATGTTTTAAGACAGATCACATTTGTTTAAGGATGACAATGAGATACAACATTGTGCATGAATGTTGCCGTTATCTGTACACAGCACATATGTAGCTCACATTTATCAAGCCTTTGCTACGTGCCAGAAAATGTTTTAAGTGCTTTTAGTTATCTCTTTAAATGCTCCTCAAAACCTAAAAAGTAGGTGTGAAAAGATCATTTTAGGGAAATTTAGGTGTGGAAAAGCTCAGTTGCTTGAGCTATAAAAAATTCTGGGGTTTGATTTTTCTCCTACTTATTGGTGGAAATAGAGTCCAAGAGGATAAAGATAGGCTAAAGTGGTCCCAAAAGGAAAGATTATTCTAAAATATACTATGGTTTATGTCCAACTCTGATTTAATTTGTCTGGGGTTCACCCTGGACAACAGGATTTATAAACACCCCAAAGGTAATTCTGATGGGTGGTCAAGATTCACACCACTGCTGTAGTAAGTTGAGACCAAATACATTCTGGTGTTCTATTGCACAGCACAGTGATTATAGTTGATAATGATGTATTGTAT